GAATGAAGAAAAAGAAGAAGACTTGTTCCCTTGGAAATTTTCTTTGTCTATCATGACAACGATGAAGATATATTTAAACAAAACGACAGAGATAATCGAAATTTCGTTATAGTGTTCTGAATGAGAATGACTAAAACATTTTCTCCGATGCAAATCATTTAGTATTGTTTCTTCTCTTATATCTTTCTTCATAGATATGTAGATCAACTACCTATATATTTTATTTTATTGAGTCTTTAATTGTTTTCTATCCATTTTGTTCATCGAACTTAGAGAAAGTATTTTATTTCTTACGTCCACTTTATATCAGATTGATGCTAAGGAATGATTTAGTTTGTGACACTAAATGAACGTTTAATATCCGTTAATATTATGCAGTTTGTACAAGAAGGGTACATAATGGCACCTTTTGTTGGCCATATTTTCCTCTCGTTGACAGCCTGAAATCTTTATATCTCTACTTAATAAACGCTTTACTAACTATACATTATCGACTCATACCAATAAAGAGAAGATAATGAATTACAACCAAATTGTATGTGATCCATATCCTATCGTTGCAGTAAGTTGTTCCAAAGGGAAAACGAGATATACTAGAACGACGAAAGAGCTTTCGATTGGTCTCATGTTTGATAGAAAAGTAATTATTCACTTAATGTACACAAGCCTCAAATTCCTGGCATGTAATTCATTCAGACAGTACAACATGCAAGGATAAAGATGGCATGTGAAAAACGAAGACTTACCTCAAGCAATTGATTTTTAGATGGTCTCGTTAATAAACGGTAATTAGATGTTGATATTCACAATTTGTATTTATCGAAATATCAGAAGACAAGGAAAAGTATATTTATTGTGAAATAGCGAAAACTTCAGTAGACAAAAGCTCCAATAGAAGGAAAAATCATATGGATTATAAGAAAATTTTAAAGCAATTACTATTTGGTCTCATGTAAGGTTTCATGCTCAATGAGAAGAGTTTACTGAACATCCGTATTTATACTAATATGAAATGTTTCTTGTCTTTGAATAGATTATTAGTTATTTCCTGAATCTTTCTGCGTTATTTCTCTAACAGTTCTATATGATGATGATAATAATGAATCAATTACATCTGATGCTGATTTTGTACCTATTCCTTTAGCACGTTGTTATATACTGTAGGATTATTTGATACATAAGGGCGAAGTTTATTTATAAATAGAATTTTTATTGTTGTGTCTATACTATGATGTGTTAAATCTACAAGTGTAAATGGTTCACTAATTTCAATATAAGAAAAATAATATTCTTGATATAATTCATTAAGAACAATAAATAGTAAATGAACATGATCAATCATAAAAGCAAATATATCCATTGCTTTATGCTATCCTCATATTTCTCTTAAATCTGGCATATCAATTGATGAAATTCTATTGAAGTTATCAAATAGAAATAAAGTTAAAGTGAAACATGTTGCAAAATTAATTGAACTGATTGAATTTGTTTTTAAATGTTTTGACATATCATTTAAAAATGATAAAAGTAAATGAAAAACAAAACGATTTTCATCAAACAATAAAATAATAGCACATTGGAAAGTAAATAAAAGACGTTCATTATTCATTTTCATGAAAAATTTTATCGATCGAAGAAAAATAATCATTTAATATGAATAAATAATGGAGATATTTTTGTTGTAAATAAACATTCAGGTAAGAAACTAAAATATTGTCTAAATATATCGGATACATCATATAGTCAAAATTAATCAAATTCAAGATCAGATTCGATCAAATCATGACAACGTTTTAGAAGGCAAGAAACACAACTAAATGATTACTAGATAGAATTGAATTATAATTGTTTGATTGGATCTTTGCTTTTTGATGTTAATTTACTTGCAAACTTAAATTAATGAATTTCATTGTAAAAGTTGCCTATGAATTGACTATAAATCATATAGAACAATCGAGTGACTTATAATATATGACCAATGTTTGTTCCTTTCTTTAATGTTGTTTCAAGTCGTTTTGAATGTCTGTTTTTATGTTCATTCGATAGAGAATTTATTTCTCTACAAAACAGTCGATTTTGTTTTTCGAAAATATTATCTTTGTCGGCAAAAAATTAAAAAGCTCTACATTCATAGCGTAATGTGCGTACAACTTTCTATTTTCTTCTAATATCTAATGATTTCTGGATGCGTATACTGATTCAGATAAATCTTTAAACTAAATTATTTCAATCAAAAGATAGAGAGCTCCTGATCACGAAGTTTTGTCTTCAATAGAAAGAAACATACACTTTTCGATGGAACTAATCGAGTTGCATCCACCAAGTTTCTTGTTTGTATACCTACTACAATAGAACAGCTGGTTATAATGATTATATCATTCATTATAATGAACTAGTATCCAATATAAGGTTGATCGTCACAATAAAATTTATATGAAATAATTGTATGAGGAATTGTTTGTTTATTAACCAAGATCATTCTTATTATTGTTATAATCAAATAGTTATTATCTTACGTATTATTTAACTACCATTGTTATGATAATATCAAAGAAAATAGTCATAGAAAAAAGATTCGCTTTTCTTTTTCATCAAGCTAGTATTACAATATGAAAATACTTGATGAACACCTATTTTTGAGTGAGTTTTTCTTCCTGATGCAATATTCATTGTAGTCAATTGAACATTATGATTAAAAAAAAATACCGAAAGCTTTGATCTACTTATTTATAAACAGTTTGCGACAAAGATCTTGTAAGCGAATGAAACAGATCTGTGATTACTTTCACCTTAATGATTCGTTAGAAGTATGATAAAAATATACTCTATACCTATATGTAATATGCATTTGATTTTAATGACATATATGAAACCAAAATACAATAAACACAAATCTTTCTAATTAATGTCAATACATCAAACAATTATTCGATGTTTTTGTGAAATAGTGGATTGTTCTTGTTTTTCTGAATGTTTGTTAACAAATATTTTTAATATTCAACATTGAAAAACAATTGTTGAATTATTTTTATGAAGATTTTTATTTTAAAATTTTTCAAATAATTGTGAAGAATTATAATATTTCTGATTAAAGTTTGAAAATATTTAAGAATAAAATCAAATATTCATTGTGATCTTAATGTAAACAATGATGATAGTGAGATACAATTCATTTGTAGAATAGAATTAAATTTTTTCTTGTAGAATTGTTTCAATATCTTTAGTTAATGTTTTTAATATAACATCTATTAGATATTTTTCTTCAAAACCAGTTAATAATAATTGACCACTAGCTAGAATAATTGTTATCGAATTGATATTAATTTTACTTTTATTAGGATCAATAGATAATGGATTATATTTTGCTTCAAGATCATCGATAATATTTAATGTAGTAACTTTGATGGATGAAGGTATTTCTGATGACGCTTGATAAATAGAAAATTTCTTTCTTGTGAGTTTTTTAGTATGTATTGACATTTTTTCTATCTATATAGAATGAAGAATTGTTATGCATAATGTTTAGTCTGTGTTGATTTTGATTTTCTATAGAATTTATATTTATTTGTCATTGCTTTTATTTCATATCAATCAATGATTTGTAAACCATGGTAATAGTTTGTTAATCAGGCTTGATCTTTTCATTCTTGTTTTCTTTTTCTGTTCTTTTGTTTAGAACATATTAAATGTCATGCATTATCTTTCGTTTGAATCAATCGAATATATAAACAATAAAATTACAAAATAATCATGATCGGGAAGTGATGTGTGATTCGAAAATAGTTATCGAACAGATTGATTCACACAAACCCATTTTACAATTATCGACTGAATTTATGTAAGTATGAATAGAAATTAAAATGTTTTTTTTTTCAATTCACTATTTGTCTAAGAATACTTGAAACATAAATTGAATGTCGAGCTTGATTGAATCTATTTTTGTTTGTCTTCTAATTCATATTAAGTTATTTCTTTTTTTATTATAATACGTTTTATACTAAAAGTAAATTTAAAAGTTTTTTTTAAATCGATCATCAGTAACAAATAATCTATTGAATAAAAGTCGAAGAAAGTAAAGAGAGACTTGTATATATTTAATATTCTGTTTGTTTGTTGTGATATTATATGATATCGGAAAAATATTAATCTAATGAGAGGAATAATTATTGAACAGTTTTCGGACAAAATGGTGATTAACATCTAGAAACGAACGAAACCATTCCAAAAAAAAATAAAGACTCCTCTGACAAAAAAATGAGAGACATGATCGAATAAATTACATTCATTAATTTTGATTGACTAAATCACGTATTACAAAGGTAACCTTCTAATTAAAATTGTGTCTATGTAATAAAATGAAAGAGAGACAATATTTTTTTGTTATCTACGAATTTGTATATTCGAACAAAAATCATGATTTGTGCAGTCTAAACAAAAAAATCAGCAAGGTATATTGTCTCACCGTTTTAATGAGAAAAATACATGGGACACAACATAGGACCGAAATAGAGTAAAGGAAGAGAAAAAAAACAGAACAGCTGACAAAGTTTCTTTTTTCTAACATAGGTTTCATTCGAAATTTTGTACATATACAGGGTTACCGATGACTAATCAAAGTGTTTTACGCACCATTGACTAACTAAGTCATGTTTATCTCTCTTGGTTTTTTCCGACATAGGTATTATTTATAGATCGTAATACCTTTCTATGCATCACCGATACAGCGCATAAACATTACAGGTATATATATATATATATATATATACATATATATATATATAATATAGACTTTGAGGCTAAGCAAAGACTGTAATTGATCAAAAGCTATCCATGGCTCAAGTTGTCTTCGAACGACTTTTTGCACGTAAGCCAATGATAGATGTACAAAAACAACTTGATACAACACAAGGATTTAAACGTACACTAAATTGGATTCAACTACTTACTATAGGTCTTGGTGCTACTATTGGTAAGTGAGTTTGAAAACAATACATGCAGTAAGAGTTTTGAATCGTCTTTTTAGGTGCTGGGATATTTGTATTAAGTGGTAAAGCTGCTGCAAACTATTCTGGTCCATCGGTTATCATTTCATTTGTTATAACAGGCGTTATTGCTTTATTGTCATCTTTATCATATTCAGAGTTAGGAGCAATGATGCCTAGTTCTGGATCAGTTTACACTTATACTTATGTAGGTGAGTTACTGATTGTATACGTATTTTGCTCTCATAAACATTTGTATTTGTATTGTTTTAGCTTTGGGAGGTAT